CTGAGGCTGTAAATCTTTACGGGAGCAGAAAGCCTCACCTTTCTCCCACAGAATAGCTGGTAGTTTCAAACTGCTGAACCTGAGGTTAGCAGCCCGATTCATAACCACTACACTACCAGAGCTCCTTACATTCTAAAGATATGAAGTTGATTGTATGTTAGTCATACACAGACTGTTTGTCATGCACAGACAACATACACTTTTAAGGTAGTTAAAATAGTTGCCATATTTAGGAGGTAAGTTTTTTTGGGGTGTGGTTTGGCTTTGGTTTTGGTTTTGTTTGTTTGGGGACATGTATGCATTTCAGTTTTCTTGAGTTGTCGTATGTTAAGCAAGTCAAATAAATACATAGTCATCAGTGTAAATGCGTACTAAACATGATACCCTTCTTTTGAACCATCAAGAGCTAGTCTTTTTTGTTTAGTATTAGTTATGGGACAAGTTTCTGACACACCTTTATTTAAAAGATTAAAAATACCAAGAATATTGTCAGGATTTCAGAACTAATAGCACAGTCTTAAGGAAATGACTTCATTTGAGCATTTCTATTTCTCTTCCTACTAAGTAGAAAGAGAAGAAATCCTTTCATAACTCATTTGTATCATGTTAAAAATAGCTTTTTACTATCCTTATTTTAAAATTCTTGCCAAGTAGGAGAAATTATTCAGTAATACAGACAAATAAACCTAGACACATACTGTCTTTAAAATGTCTTGATTTAATTGACTATTGTTAAGTGTCATAAAGTCGGTTCTGACTAAACCCTATACAACAACCCTGTGTAGGAGTTCCAAGGAGCAGCTGGTGGATTTGAACCATCAACTTGGTGGTTAGGAGTCCAGTGCTTATCATACAGCGCCACACCAAGACTCCTTAATTGACTATTGCTGTTGTAGTTAAGTACCGTGGAGTCAGTTCCAACTCATAGCGACCCTGTATAGGGTTTCCAAGGAGTGGCTGTTGGGTTTGAACAACTAATCTTGTGGCTACCAGTCCAATGTTTATCCACCAGGACTCCAAATTGACTATAGAGAATCCTAAAATATGCCCTCTTAGATGACATCATTATTAGAAGGAAAACGTTTTACAAAAAATTTAAGTCATATGAAGGTTTTTCCATGTTGTTGCGTTGGTGTAAAAGGTGCATTTCAATAAAAGGTTTTACATAGATCTGAACAATTTTCTGTTTGTAGATGTCCACAAAATAGTTGAATTACCAATGGATTGTATAATTTATTAATTGCCCAGTCTGGAGGCAGATTTCTATCATTCTTCACGTGATTGCCTAGTTAAACTAGGGAGTCTGATTAAAAGTTAACCTAAATATACATTAAGGAGCTCTGGTAGCGTAGTGGTTACGAATCGGGCTGCGAACCGTAAGGTCAGCAGTTCGAAACTACCAGCTGTTCCGCGGGAGAAAGATGAGGCTTTCTGCTCCCGTAAAGATCAACAGCCTCGGAAACCCTGTGCAGGGTCGCTATGAGTCGGAACCGACTCCACGACACATAACAACAACAACAACAACAAATATACATTAAGGGTGTTGGGTTCATTTTTCCCTTTCATGTAAACTTTAGCCCTGCTGAAAGATTATGTAATGGAAAGTTTTTTTATTATTATGTTGGTATTGTTCTTTATTTTTAAAAATGTTCAGATTGTCTTTTAAGGAGAAACTATGGTCTAAATATCCATAACAGTGTTTTCGGTACTCCAAAATACAAATAAAAGCATTATGTAATCTTGGTGGTGGTAGGATGGATATACTCAATGTGTCTTATCACTTCATAGTATATTGTACCTGCATTTTGTGTGTATGTGTGGTTCCAGTTCTCTAAATTAAAAATATTATCATAAAAATGTGTTTTGTGACAATGCAAATGTTTAGGTTTTTAACAGCTAAAAAAAGATAGTTAAAATAGTTCATTGACCTCTAAAGAAAAACTATTTTTGGTTAAGAATTCACATGAAACAAATCCTAACCTCTATTTCAAAAGGCACAAATTTTTATCCTCAGCTATAGGCAAACCATGAATGCCTAATCTATTATCAGTTTTCCACAAAAGTGTTCTGTATAATATTTATTTTTTCAGACAGTATTTGTATCCTGAAATAGTATACCATGTTAAATCCATACTCACTATTGTGACTTTACAAATCCATCATACTTTTCAAAATTTTTTTTTAATTTTCAAGTTATTTTAGTCATTAAAAGTATTTATACTTTTGAAATATAAATGCTGAGCATTTGTATTGTTTCTGCCAAATAATTTTCACATGTGCCCTTTTAGTTAAGAATGTTGCTGTTGGATCACTGGAAGTATGTGGTGGGGGATGAAAAGGTATCTCCCCACTTAATCCGCCCATAATTCCTAATTTAATACCCCACTTTCTTACCAGAAAGACATTTTCAATTAGATACCCTCTTAAGGGTATTCTTTCTGGAGAAATGAGATGTGGATGGGTTTTTAAAGGACTATGGAAAATATTTAGATACCAAATACTTTTAAATGCAATGAAAGCATAAACAAAATCAATAATAATAGGTAATTATAAAAAATTCTTTTCTCCCAGCTAAACTTTTTCTTTCAAATTCACTGGAGAGGCACCTCTGCAAAAACTTTTAAATAGAAATGAAATATTTTGTGATTTACTGAGAAGTCAAATATGTTATGCTTTGAGCAAGGAAGAGGAGTTAACCTCTGTTTCAGAAAGGAGGAACAGACCCTTCTGACAACTGCTTTATTTCTAGTTAATGTTGGCATATTTTACTGAGTGAGGTAATTAAATCTCCATTCAAATAGAAGACTCTTTGTACTATCTTTACTAAATAGAAAGGAATGCCTGATGCTAGCGCTCTTGCACATGTATGTGTCACTTCAGTCCTGCACAGATGGATACTGTAAAGGCATTCACACATGTCCTTGGGCACCATGTGGCTCAGTTCACTACATATCTGGGAGGCTTATTTCTCACTTTATTTTAATATTTGCACATTCATGGTTTTATATTCAGTGTTCTACTAAACTGTCTAAAACTCTACCTCCTAATGCCTTCAGAGTTTTGAGTTCACATTGATTATTTAGAAAGTCTCTTTGGTAGTTCATTCTTTTCTGATATATGAGGGAGGTTTCAAAAAGTTCTTGGAAAAAATGGAGTTAAAAGTTAATGGCGTTTTTTCATTAATTTTTTACATCCCCCTCATATGTTATTGTTGTTAAGTACCGTGGAGTTGGTTCCAACTCATAGTGACCCTGCACAGGGTTTCCAAGGCTGTAAATCTTTACGGGAGCAGAAGGCCTCATATTTCTCCCATGGAACCGCTGGTAGTTTCAAACTGCCGACCTTGAGGTTAGCAGCCCAGTTCGTAACCACTACGCTACCAGAGCCACTTATATATGTATTTGTTATTGTTGTTAGGTGCCCTCAAGTTGGTTCTAACTCATAGTGACCCCATATAGGGTTTCCAAGGAGCAACTGGTGGGTTTGAACTGCTGACTTTGTGTTTCTCAGTCCAGTGCTTATCCTACAGCGCCATACCAGGAGTCCATATTTATTAGGAACTTTACAAACTCAAGCATTGCCACTTTGGATTAATTTTCTTTCTCTCCAAAGACTTTTAACTCTTTCTACCACTTTATTTTTAAATTATTCTAAGGAAATTATTTGTACTCAATATTCTCATCCTTCATTTAATATTTAATAGTAAACATTTGATTAATTATTTTTAAGTGGTAGTTTTTATATAATTTCAATATATAAGCCTTTTTGAATTCTCATCAAAATTATTTCATCAACTATGCCACACTTGTCAAAGCACCACATGCAGTGCTCAATAGACACTGTAAAGGACAAGCCTATTTTATGATCTGCCATTCATAAGTGTTGAGGTCCTTGAATAAATGATGTGTGCTATACTATTACTTGTAAAGCAATGTATGTAGAATAATTACTTCTGAATCTCTGTATTTTTTTCTCTTTAAATAAGTTGTTAAATGTGTAAGAAAATACCAATTTACTTAAAAATTCCATTGTTGACATAATAAGTGAAAATATCCCTAAGTAAGAATGTTAGTTAATAACTAAAGCTTATAAGGAGTTAATAACTAAAGTTATAGTTAGTTAATAACTAAAGCTTATATGGAACAGTTTTTTCTTGAACTTTTTGAAACCCCCTTATATGTGCCAAGTACTGTCTGAGCCCTTTAAACTTATCTTATTTAATCTTCACAAGAACTTTATAAGGGAAGTTTGATTGTTAAGCCCCTATTTTACAGATGAGAAAACTGAGGCCCAGGGCACCACCTAGCAAGGAAGTCCAAGCAGTCTAATTCCAGAATCTGAGTGTACTCTTGATCACTGTGTTCTGTGTTTGCTTAAATACCTCCTATAACAGAGACCTCCTTGCCTATAGAATTGGCCCAATCAAATGTCAGACTTCTGTGAAGTTATTCTTTATCTGAAGTATTAGAGAATGAAATGACATGATTTCTGGGATTTGCTTTAAAATATTCCAGTAGAGGCAGAGATGAAACAAAATGTTATACTGAAAACTGTTGACGCTGAATGATAGGGTCATGGGATGCTTTAAGCTATTGTTTACTTTTATGTGTTTGTATTTGTTTTATAATAGATTGTTTTGTGGGTTTTGTTTTCAGTTATTTTCTATATTAAACTGAAATGTTTTATAGGATTTTAGAGCCAAATTTGTTTTACTTTTAACTTTTTTTCTGTCTAATGATAGTATTTGTTACATGCTCATAGTTAGTTGATAGTCAAATATTTGACTGGTCTTTCTTAGACCACCTTTTTTTTTTTTTTTAAATAAATCATTGCTATCCAATAAGTGTTTTTAACAAAGGACATTCATTTTTTAGAGTTCCTCTTTCTCTATTTTATAATGTGCAAATATTGTTTTGTGAGATAGCTTAACTTTGTCCAAGCTTGTTTGAAATCATTGAGCCTAAACACACATTTAGTCTAACCTGTTTTTATTTTAACAGGAGCCAAGCACTAAAAGAGTCCGCCCTCTAGCTCGGGTCACATCCTTGGCAAATTTAATCTCTCCTGTAAGAAATGGAGCAGTCAGACGCTTTGGTCAAACAATACAGGTAAAGAAAAGGTTATGGGAATAATATGAGGAGGGGACTTTTTTTAGAAGCAAAGTTCATATTTTTCATTGAATTGTACAAACAGATTTTGTACTGTTTTTCTTAAACATAGTTTCCTTTATAGAATATGCTGGTAAGGTATATTGTTCTTGTTAAGTGCCATTGAGTCGGTTCCAACTCATAACGGCATATATAGGGTTTTCAAGGAGCAGTTGGGGATTTGAACCACTGACCTTGTGGTTAGCAGTCCAGTGCTTATCCTACAGTGCCACACTAGGACTATAGTATTTGTATAACTTGCACCAGCGGTTAGGCTTGGATAGCATTTCCTATCCCGATTGCTAAGTGTTTAGGACTTGGATATATGTATTTTTTATTCATTGAGAAATAGTCACAACTTTGTTTATTTTCTTTGATCTGAAAAATGAAACCTTATTGTATCATCCAAAACTTCTTTTTCTTTTTTTTAAAGTCATTTACTCTTCGTGGTGACAACAGATCCCCGGCTTCTGCCCAGAAATCATACAGCAGATCAACTGTCCCAACACCTACCAAGAGAAGAAACAGTGTTCTCTGGTCAGAAATGTTAGACATCAACATGAAGGAGTCTTTACCTACCAAAGAAATCAAACGTCAGGAGGTATGCTGACATTCAGTAGCATGGCTGTGTTTATTCGGTCGTACTTAACAAAAATGTTTCTACCCTCTGCATCCATGCTTGGCTAGAATGGCAGCAAACAACTGGCTGTTGTGTCTGAGCTAACATATGTTGGGCATCACTTTGTGGTTGGTGGTCATCTAATTAAATTGCTCTAATGGGGTTAACTTACAAATCATCTGGCAACCTCTTATTTGAGATTCCATACTGAATTGTAGTTTTCAGACTGAGTCACTTAAAAAAGGCACTGTTCAAAACATCAGCTAAATAATGTAAATATCATTTGTATATAATTTTCATTTCACAAAGGAAGAAATAACATGTTTGCTGAATTGTTTTAGGCAATCTATGAAATGTCTCGAGGTGAACAGGATTTAATTGAGGATCTCAAGCTTGCAAGAAAGGTTAGTGAATAACTCTGGCTTGTTGTAGACTCTAGTAGTTACCATTGAGTCCATTCCAACTCATAGCAACCCCATGTGCCATGCTCCATAGCGTTTTCCAGGCTGTGACTTGGCAGAAGCAGGTCACCAGGCCTGTCTTCTGAGGCACCTCGGGGTGGCTTTTCATATATTCTGGGGTATTTTAAATTGTATTTCATAATTTATAAGTATACTGCTATTATTTTTAGAAGTAGAAAAGTAGAAAATAGTTACTGGTGGATTCTGTTTTTAGATTGAGTGTTGTAGGAAGAGTCTGCTTGGGAATTAACATATACTTTGTTTCTTTTATGGTGTCAAACAGATTCCACGCAAGCTTTTATGTAGTTAGTCATGTTTGCATCAAAGTATAGATCTGTCATCATGTTTTATTTGCTTGATCCTTTTGTGTGACTCATTTTTCTCTGATAGGCCTACCATGATCCCATGTTAAAGTTGTCGATTATGTCAGAAGAGGAACTCACACATATATTTGGTGATTTGGACGCTTATATACCTCTGCATGAAGGTTAGAAATGCTATTTAATTTTCATTAGTGGCCCAATAGTAGTTAACATAATTTTAAATCTAAGTTTCTAATTTAATACTGAATTATTTTTTAAATAAACCCATTATTTGGTATTTTTACTTTTTTACACTTTAGATTTATTGGCAAGAATAGGAGAAGCAACCAAGCCTGATGGAACAGTGGAACAGATTGGTCATATTCTTGTGAACTGGGTATGTAGCAAGGTGTTTACTCCAGATAGGTTTTGCAGATATATCATACTTGCATTTTGTGATCCATTAACTGGATTCTACAAACACACAAGTCATTAAAACGAAACATTTACATAGGTATAAGAGTATTGGTTTCTGTTTAAAGCAAAAGAAAGCAAGAATTTGAGTGGTACAGTTTTATTTGTTTTACAAATATGTTTTCCCTGGTCAGAATTCCCATTAATTATGATTCATTCTTTCAGTTGACATTTGAGTGCCAGATGCTAGGCATAGTTCGCAGAGCTAGGGATTCATTGGTGAAAAGACAGCCTCTGTCCTTATATTTATAATTTAGTGAGAGAGGAGATGGGGTAAAGAGTCTGAGGGTAGCAGTGAATATGTGATAAAGGATAAAGGCCACTTCTGTGTTTTGGGAATTCAGAAGATTAGCATATAGCTGACCTGAGGTGGGGGAAATAGAAACCACAAGTCTTTAGGTAGATTTAGTCAAATAAAAATAAATAAATAGGAAAGGGTATTCTTCTACTGACCCCAGTATATTCTACTTCTCCCATTATTACATGCATGAAAATTTTCAGAGCTTGTTTTACAACTCTCGAGGTTAGTTTGAGTTATGTTTCACATTCATAGGCTTATTAATGGGCCAAATCATAACAGAAGTTTATCCTTTGTTTCCTTTTATTATTCAGTTGCCAGGCTTGAATGCCTACAAAGTCTACTGTAGTAACCAGCTCGCAGCCAAAGCTCTTCTTGATCAAAAGAAACAAGATCCAAGAGTCCAAGACTTCCTCCAGCGATGTCTTGAGTCTCCTTTCAGTCGAAAACTAGATCTTTGGAGCTTCTTAGATATTCCTCGAAGTCGTCTAGTCAAATACCCTTTGCTGATAAAAGAAATTCTTAGACACACTCCAAAAGACCACCCAGATGTTCAGCTTCTAGAGGAAGCCGTAAGTAGTCCAAGGAATAATACTTACTTTTTTTCAACTTTATGTATTAGATTATCCTATTGTTTTTTTTAAAGTGCCGTTGAGTTGGTTCCAACTCATTAGGACCATGTATAGGGTTTCCAAGGCTGCATATAAATGTTTGTGGGAACAGAAAGCCTGATATTTCACCCACAGAGTGGCTGGTAAGCCACCACTCTCCCCTAGATTATCATTGTTGTTACATGCCATTGAGTCGAATCTGGCTCATAGCAAGCGACCCTGTATAGGGTTTCCAAGGAGCAGCTTGTGGGTTTGAACTGCCAGCCTTGTGGTTTGTAGGCCAATACTTATCCACAGCCTCACACCAGAATTCGTAACCTTAGATCATCACAGCAAGGTATAAAATAGTATTCTCAAATCCTATATACATTGAATTAGAATTACGAAGGGTTTTTTTGGTGCTTGTTTTAAGTACCCATTACATTCGTGCACTGTGCACTAAGCAGTAAAGAGCTTGTATTTATGTTATGTTTAACACATTTATATTTTTATCTTATTCTAGTGATTAGGTTGTAATCTGGTCTCTTTACTAACTAGCTGAGTGACCTGGAGCAAATCATCTAATTTTATGGGGGTCTTCATCTGTATAGTGAAGAGATTAAATTCACTGATTTCTAGAATTCCTTCAAGATTTAAAAATCTTATTTTAATGTTTACGTTTTGGTCTCTGGAGGGAAGCAGTATAAATTAGCATACTGAAGTTGTGCCATCAATTTTTGTTGGGGCAATATTTAGGTATTGATCATACAAGGAGTTCTCTCTGATATCAACTTGAAGAAAGGTGAATCAGAATGCCAGTATTACATTGACAAACTGGAGTATCTGGATGAGAAGCAGAAAGATCCTAGAATTGAAGCAAGTAAAGTATTGCTTTGCCATGGGGAACTGAAGAATAAAAATGGACATGTAAGTATATTGAATCCTAATGTGAAGTAAGATAGTACTTCCTTTCCCCACACCTGTTTCATTTCTTCCACATAAATTCTGCATTTAATCAAGAATAATTAAATCGGGGTGTGTTTTGGGGGGGGTTTTTTTTTTATGTTATCACCTTTGATAAAGCTAACTTTTAATTGTATAGTTACAGAATAGCTATGAAGCATAAATAACTTGTCTAGTTAGGGTTCCCTTTTCTAAAGTATTAGTTCTATAATAGCTAATTAGAAAAATATTCTTCAATTTTTTTTGAAGAAGTAATTTTTCTGACAAGTGATTTTTAGCATTGCTGAACACATTTCTAAAGCAAATTGAGTGAAAAACTGATTTTAAAAATACCTTAATTATAAAAGTACCTGCTATAGAACTAAAGTATAGTCTTAGAATCGTATTTTAATTCATTATGAGCTTTTCAAATTTTTTATTTCTATGGCTTGAGTGTATTTGGGAGAAGTCGAAATCCTGTATCTCTGATTTCCATCGTGATGCTGAATTGTTCACAAATTATAAAGGCTTAAATGTGTGTGGTACAAAATAGAGCCATTAGCATTTTTTAATCCCTGCTTTGTTAGAAAACTCGGGTATACAATAGAGGAGTGTTTACTTAGTTGTTGTTTAATCTAATGTTACACACCAGTTTGTACCTTGAAATCACCTTCTTTATAAATCACCTTCTTTATTGAGGTTATTTATAAGCAAGATTTCAGTAAATATATTTTATGAAATTTATCATAATCTCAAGTTATTTTAACAGTATGGTTGTTGTTGTTAAGTACTGTCGAGTCAGTTCCGACCCATAGTGACCCTGAATAGGGTTTCCAAGGCTATAAATCTTTACGGGAGCAGAAGGCCTCATCTTTCTCCCGCAGAGTAGCTGGTAGTTTCGAACTGCTGACCTTGCGGTTCACAGCTCGATTCGTAACCACTACGCTAACCAGAGCAACCAGAGCTCCTTAACAGTATGGTGGTGGTGGTTATATACCATGAGTCAGGTCCGAGGCTATAAATCTTTACAGGAGCCGAAAGCCTCATCTTTCTTCCGTGGAACCGCTAGTGGTTTCGAACTGCTGACTGTGATATTAGCAGCCCAACTTGTAACCACTATGTGAAATCACTAGAATAAAATCACAAAGTTCCATATTAGAAAAATGTGTCTCATTTTTCTAGAAACTTTACATTTTCCTGTTTCAAGACATCTTGGTTTTGACTCGACCTGTTACACGAAATGAGCGCCACTCTTACCAGGTTTACCGGCAGCCAATCCCAGTCCAGGAGCTGGTTCTGGAAGACTTACAGGATGGAGATGTGAGAATGGGAGGATCATTTCGAGGGGCCTTTAGCAACTCAGATAAAGGTAAAGATGAAAGCTTTAAATAATTTTAACTAAACATAAGCTAAGAGCCAAAATTAATTTAATTTTAACTTTAAATAATTCTGTACCTATTTTTAAAATGGAGAAAAATAATATTTGACATGTGAAACAAAACATTTCATCCCTACACAGATTATTAACCATGGGATGGATTTCATTGTCCTGTATTTATTGTACTCATTGAGATGTCAGGTGCTTCAGGCGTCTGACACTCACAGCTGCATATAATAAGTCATGTTAGCTTTAATTTAATTTGATGCATCTAAATACTGACACCCACATGAAGATTGAATAGCCTTTAATCTAGAATAAAAAATTTTTTTCAATTTTTATTTTTCCAGCTAAAAATATCTTTAGAGTTCGCTTCCAAGATCCCTCTCCAGGCCAGTCTCACACCCTACAAGCCAATGATGTGTTCCATAAACAGCAGTGGTTCAATTGTATTCGAAGCGCCATTGCCCCTTTCCAGCAGGCCACTAGCCCAACAGAGCTAAAGGATTTGCCCGAGCTCAATGAAGAGTGTGAAGAGAACAACCTCTCTGCATCAAATATCAAAGCCCCGAGAAGGTTAGCAACAGTTTCTAGTGTTATTCAAGTAGAAGAAGTGGATAAAAATGTGTCAGAATGTGGTTCCACTGTGCAAACAGCAGAAGACACCAAGAGTGTAAAAGCACATCAAACACAGTCTGGGTTCCGAAAAGCAAGGGACAAAGCCCAGTCAAGTGGCAAACGAAAAGAGACTTTGGTATAAAGAAGACTCTGCATTAACTGATGGCGAGACTGTTTATTTATAAATGTGTACAGTTTTTGTTGGTTTGTTTTCTTTTTTCTTGTACTGTGAGCATGGGAGCATTGTAGGGTTACTTTGTACTTGTACTGTGAGCATGGGAGCATTGTAGGGTTACTTTGTACAAGGTTTAGTATTTTCCATGTTTTGGTGTTTTTGTTTTTGTTTTTTTCTTTTTTAATGGCAGCTAAAGGTATACAAATTACAGTCTTTTTTTTTTTTTTTTTAAAGGATATAATTATTTTTATTATTTGGAATATGCAAGTCTGGTCCGGTACCTTTAATCAAATGAAATCTGTATGAGATGGGTTTCCTCCAAATTCTGGATTCATCATGACTTTTCAATACCAACCAATTGTGATATTTACATTATTTGGCCAAAATTCCAATTTTATAAATAATGGAATTTTACCAGTGTTTCTGTGAGAAACTGTGCATGCAAAATTTGAAAATATAACATTGGCACATAAAATCTCCATGGAATTACATACTTTGCAGTATTTCAAAGTTTATATTGAAACATAACTTCCTTGGAAAACAAAATGTACAACTTCATAGGTTTTCTGTTGTTATCAACTGGAATGCTTTATATTAGTTTGTGTTTTTTTCACTACACATTCCTCATTTTCCATTCATTTAACCTGCATATTATTTAATTTTTTTTATTGTAAAGTAGCTTTTAGTATTTGCTTTTATTTTTTTATTTGGATGCCTTTTAAAATTGGCATGTCTTTAAAGTATTTTTATTCCATGATTTAAAATGTGTGTGTGTGTATGTGTGTGTGTGTGTGTGTGTGTGTATATATATATATATATATATATTTTAAATCATATTAACTTTACAAGTGAAATCAAGCCATACTGTTTTTGAGCCAATACAAAAATTACAAATATTAAAGTATAGCATTTTGGGGTGGTGAACATACATGAAATGACATGGTATATTCTAGACTACTGAAAGAAAACCACTTTTAAGAACTGAGTTGGAAGTTTTAGCATGTCTGAAAAGCAAGAAGGGAAGGCAAGATGACTGGTAATAAGTTTTTCGGTGGGGGGGGTGGTTTGTTTCGTTTTTAAGAGGGAAAATAGTAGTTTTATGTTAAAGTAGAATGTCTGGTTATACCAGAATGCGAAAGATAGTAAGCTAAACTTGAGGGTATGTAGTAAGTTGTAGAAGGCGTAAGAGGAAGTGAACTTTATTTGCCTTGGTTTATAATACCTGCAAATAATGAGTTTGAAAAGAAACAATGATATGTTCTGAAATGTTCTGAAATTTTTACGTTAGACCAGTTTGGGTGGACTTATCATAAGCAAAAAGTATGGTTGGTAAGTCTTTCACTGCAAAATGTTACATGGCTGATAACTACTATCTATTAAAAGAGCAGTGAGATCAGAGTCTTTGAAAGGGGTGGACCAAAAAGCTCTGTGTCCTGGCAGGTTTGTAATGGTAATCAGTTCAAGTAAATGTTGATTATTATGTGAAATATATTTGGCCAGTGGAAGTTAAAATTGGAAAAGATTGTAAATAGATCACTCCAAATGATTTCTCTGTATAAATGAATTATACAATTAAAAAAAAAAAAGCACGTTCAGAATCACCCTAAAGTTTTTTTGCCTGATTATTTTGGGAGCATTTGCAGGAATGTGTTGAAATGGCAAAAGCGCTAGTGACAAGCTTCACTAAAGTTTATGAAAATCATACTGAAACCTTTGAAATTCAGTGAATAAGAACCAACAAATCTTGTGAATCTTCTATTAAGATCTTTAGGATGCAGTAATCAGAAACAGCAATTGTGTTGAAGACAACTATACATCTGACCATTCTGGATATGATTGTTCTTGCTAAGTGCCATTGAGTCGGTTCTGACTTACAGCAACCCTGTATAGGGTTTCCAAGGAATGCCTGGTGAATTTGAACCACTGATCTTGTAATTCAAACTGAATAGTAATTCTAATATCAATGCATTCTGGTTAATTTCAGATTTTAAATTTGGTATCTTTAGATTTTAAGTTTAGAACTTCCAAATTCAAAAGTGTAGATTACACCAATGGTGTGATCAGCAAAATCAGAAAGCAGTTATTTCTAAACATTTCTAAAGGTGCTATATAGTCCTCTAGTCACCTTTACGTAAATGATATGTAATAATGAGTAACACTTACCTACTGTTTCCCAATTTGTCTCAAACTATTTGGGGTCTGAGTTTCTTGAATTAAGTTTAATTTTCTTGTTTAACTTCTTTCGAGGAGAATGCTTAGGTATCTTGAACAAAGGATTGGCTTTATCATGGAAGGGCTTTATAAATCTAGTGCTTTATCTCAGGATTTGTGTAAACAAGTGGTGCTTGTTTTTAAGTGCTGTCAAGTCGATTCTGACTCATAGCAACTCTGTATAGTGTTTCCAAGCAGTAACTGTTGAGTTTGAACCACCAACCTTACGCTTCAAACCGATCTTGAAGTCCAATGCTTATCCTACAGCACCACACCAGGATTCCAAACAAGGTGATGGTGGTGATATGCCGTGGAGTTGGTTCCAACTCATAGTGACCCTGCATAGGGTTTCCGAGGCTGTAAACCTTTAAAGGAGCAGAACGCTTCATCTTTCTGCCGTAGAATAGCTGTTAGTTTTGAACTGCTGACCTTGAGATTAGCAGCCAGACTCTTAAGAGCAGTTAAGCAGTGTGAATTAACTCAAGCAGTTAGTATGACATCACCAGAACCCTCTGTGTATAGATATCAATTAGAACAAGTGGCTACACACACACACACAAACGAGAGTGCTTCACAAACATCAGGTAATGCCTAGTTTGGCTTTCATCCATAAATCCTGATGAATGAAATGCAGAAAGACCTAAACCCTAGAGATGAAACTTCTTGTTTAGTGCTATTCAGTCAGTTCAGACTCACTGCAACCCTGTAGAGGGTTTCCAAGGAGTGACTGATAGGTTTGAACTGCAATCTTGTGATTAGCGGTGGGTAGTAAATACTTGCTTTTTAGAGTCTAGGAACTCAGAGTAGATGATATTCTAACCTACAATTTGGACTTTTCATAATTGGTATTATAGAACATCTATGAAAAAATATCCCTTTATCCATTTAATTCCCCTGAAATAAAGAAATGTCCTCACAAAATCTCCCAAGATCCAGAAGTCTAGAACTCCTTAGATCAAGAGGAGTTTTGATTCATTGTTCACATTTGAGCAAGCCCCAGAACAAACTTCAAAACTGAAGACCTCATATATAGACAGTTATTCAAGTCCAGTGGTAATCTTATTAGAAGCATGAGCAATTTGAAACTCTAAAGCTATGAACCCGCTCCTAGAATAATGTAATCAAAGATATTCCGCAGAACTCTCTGGGCTCCATGCCAAAATTTGCTCAAGTCCTAACCAGGACTTTGTCATGTGCTGTGGAGTTGGTTCCAACTCATAGAGAACCTCTATAGAGTTTCAAAGGCTGTAAATTTTTACAGAAGCAGAAATAATAGTTTGAAAATTATGTTCCACACTTCCAGTCAGTCTTACAAGTCACAATTGTGACACATTTGAATATTCTGAATATAATCTTATTAAGAACAATGTAAAAATATCAAGTATGCTTTTTATAAAGGACTGTCAATTTTATGTCACACTGTAGTTGCTGTTAAGTGCCGTTGAGTTGGTTCCAACCCATTGCGACACTTTATAGGGTTTCCAAGAAGCAGCTGGTGGATTTGAACCACCAACGTTGCAGTTAGCAGCCCAGTACTTTTCCTATAGCACCACACCTGTGCCACTTGGTGCCAACCCACAGTACCACCAAACTAGCATTAGTCTAGCAGAAACCCTCATAACCAGCACCCTCCTCCTAGTTGCCCTATGGTCCTAACAGACACTGAAACCAACTTCATCAAAGGCTTCTATGAACTACTTTCCTATTAAGTGCCCTGATCATAGACAACACCTAGGCCTATAGGGACTCCATCTAGAACCAGAAACTCCACTGTCACATCCCTCCCATACCTATTTTATGAGCTCCTTGGCAGGCAGGAGTCCCTGTGTTCTCTCCAGGTCCAACAAATGCCCTGTAGTTTTTGTTTTATTTTTTTCCCTTTATTTCATTGTTTTCGTTTTTGTTTGAATTTTATCCTGGTATGGCACGGTGGTTCAAATCAACTAGCTGCTCCTCAAACACTATATAGCAGAAGTGGAAAACCTTTTTTCTGCCAAAATTTATATTGCCTGCTGTATTTGATCAAACATTTAACTAACTCGCCCCTAATGTGATGGCTGGAACTGCAGTTGCCTTGGCAAGACCAGACCAAATGATTTTATAGGCTGGACAGTCCCCACTCCTGCTTTACAAGCTTACTATCAGTTGAAACCAGCTCAGTGGCACTTAACAACAAAACCCTCTCCACTTTTTTCATTCTTGTTTCTCATTTCCTTTTTCCCCTTTTCATATTTCTTTACTACTCTTTTTTCATCTTTCATTTTTGTTTGTTTGTTTTCACTCTAATTTTTCTCTTCTATAGCTCCATTTCCCTGTCCTTCTTTTCTCTTTTTAGCTATTCTATTTTTCTCATTGCTGTCTGTTTTCATTTATTTTTTCTCCTTGATTATTTTCTCTTTTAATTGTTGGTTGCTTATTTGTTTCACTCGCTTGTGTGTGGGGAGGAGAGGGACTTCTCTTTCCCACCCAACAGGAGACAGTAACCATGCCCATATGGACCAGCAACAAATGTATTCTCTGTAGTTCCACCCACTTGACAAAAGCCAGTAACAGCTCCTATACTACCTGAAAAACACTTAAAATATTTACTGATGAAGATCAAAGAGCACAGCTTTCGGTATGGATTGCATCTCATTATAAAGAAAACAAAAATCTTTACCACTGGACCAATAAACAACATTCTGTCAATGGAGAAAAGATTGAAGTTGTCAAGGACTTCATTCTTCTTGAATCAACTATCAACACTCGTGGAAGCAGCAGTCAAGAAATCAAATGACTTATTGCATTAGGCAAATCTGCTTCACAAGACCTTT